AGTCATCTACCGTCAAGTATCCGTTGCTGATTTTCTAATTCATCAATTCATAAATAAGAATACGGTCAGGCTCATACTGTAAAACAATTTTCTGCCGCCGAAAGAGTCTACAAATTAAAAAGCAAACTGCCTCTTTCAGTACACTTGGAACACAAAAGATACCGATGAAAATGTCATCATTAGGCCTTTGTCGATCATTTTTTTAAATATTGCCACTTTCATCAACATAATCAGCGTACCATTACGTTTAGGATTTCCTCTATTGATTTCCTTCCGTGTGAGTTTTGGCTGTATCTAAACATGTCTGTTTTCATCGCAATAATTTCTGTATCACTCGGTTCTTATGTTGCTCGTTGCGCTTTTTTTTCTACGTTATTTATTTATTTATTTATTATATTTGAGAACGTATGTTCAAGTCAATCGAAGTGTACGAAGCCAATTTATTCCGGTGCTTACTGTTGTTTTTCTCTAATAGGTCCTCACACAGTTTTTACTTTTGAGTCTCCTTCTGAAAAGCTTATTCCTTAGTATATGCATTGCATGTTGCAAGTTCGTTTATTAAACTCAAGATTTGAGACTCGAAACCCAAAGGCCATGTCAGCCTACACAGTATTCACATGCATTGCCATTTAATCTAGGTGTTGCCTGTCAGCTGTCGAAATGCGTGTATTTTATATGTTTATTATTATTCTAAAAACCTAAATATCAAGTTTTTAGAGGAATCCACTTTTCTTTGTTCAGTACTTGCTGCATGTTTTTTTTTCAAAACCACATGCATTAGAAAAATTGCCCACTTCCTTATGTTTTGCTGTGTCATCGTTTTAACAATATTTTAACCTTTGATATTCCGCATTGCCTTGCCTTATGCATCTATATACAGCTGAACCCCTTTACAAGAGGTATGCCCCGGCCATCAAATATTGTCTTTGATATGAGGTGTCTCTCATAAACAGGGTGCCACATATAGATTTCTCGAAACGAGCCAGGCTTGATACTCACTTGGACCTTATCGACCCGCATTTTACTAAAGGCACACTGGCATCCCTTATAACCATGTTTCTCTTATATCAGTGCCTCTTATAAAAGGTTTCAACTGCAATCCCGTTTTAGAATCATTGCGGTATTCGCTCCAAAATGATTTCCATCTGCCAGAACGAGTACGGTGACAAGTTCTTTCGTTTGAACCCACACCACTTCGCATTTGGTTAAGCTTTCGCTGTACCATTATTTTCCAGGTTCCACTGTCCATACTCGATTCTTTTAATATGATGACCATTTTTTTCTTCTTACATTTAATATCTAATACTTGTAAAGCCGACGCACTATAACCTAACGTTTCTAGAACCAATTTCTGTAGCCTGCGGTTTGAGTAATAACTCAAGTGTAACGCAACAGCACTGCTGTCGCTTCCGCAGTATTCATCATAACGGAAATAACATATTTGTGGTTGAAAGGAAGGATTACGTAATAATATAAAAAAGCTACAAATTGGTTTGAAAATATGAGCTTTCTCAATTCTGGTACCATGTATTCATTCGACTTTAGGTTGTCATCAAAGGGCGGTTGTTCACTATTTGTTTTTGTCGGGCACTTTAACAGACACGTGCTAACACTCTACGCAATCCACCGCAGGTGTAGGCTTCCAGCAGTTTCTCGCTGCTTCAACAACACCACAGGAGTGTCATTCATCATGGTTTAAGTATGTCGTGTAGGCGCACCAAAGGCAAAGTGGCGGGCAAACTGCCGGTGCCATGAAATAGCGTATCAACGAATTTCCGTGTTATGCTTGTTTTTTATACCTAGACCAGTACTACCAGGTGTGCGCACAGCGAAAGTTGTGTGTTTTCTATAATAATTGCTGTGACAATAGTTGTTAACTATATAAAAAAGACATTAAAGCAGCCACTAAGCAAAGAAAAAAAGAGAGGGGGCCTGCAGGACACAAAAGAAACCTGTATGGGGAAACTGAAACAGAGTAGATAGCCTTTATCTGTAAAATGCAACCGCATACAAATTTCTTATCGCTCCGGTGAATTCGTATTGAACTGAAGTTTTTTATCAATTAGAAGTGAAAATACGAGTAGTTAAGCGTGATGGAGCCAGATATTCGAAAATAGTTAATTCTTCGTCAGTTATGCACAGAAACAAGTAAGCGACCTTGTGCACAAATATCCGTACAAACTATAATTGCGTTATGATTAATGTTGGAAAACATGTACTCAACACTGTAGATGCAATTATAACTGAATTTGATTATATATATCCTTAGAATGCAAAAAAATACCATATCAGTACATAAATGGCATTTTAGAAGATCATTTGGCCAATCTAGAAACATTCACTGTGATAGCGAATGACGCTTTCGTTTATGAAGAGAAGGCTGTCTGTACTACCTTAAGCTGACCAACTTTTACGCTTACCTTAGGAACTTTCTACTCACTCCTTTCTAGACATGTGTGACTCGTTCGACAAGTTTGGGTACCAGGCCATAGAGGTTTAGCTCTCAATGAGCATGCACATGCACCAATGAGCATGCACATGCACTAGCTCTATCTTCCCTTGATTGTCCTGTTTTATCTATTTTGCCTACTTCTGAATATATCACAGCAGCACACTTTGAAAAACGCGCAACCGCCAATAACTTTGAAAAATCTCCTTTGTTTTTATCAGACTATCCACGGCTAACGTTCCCTTGGAAGAACAAATGGTGTTCATCAAGAAAGGAAGAAACAGTGATTATAAGGCTGCGTTGTCGGGTACTGTCATTGAACTTTTACTTTCACAGGTCGGGCTGGCACAATCGCCTTTGTGCCTTCCCTGTAATGAGAGTGAATATTTGAAGCACTTCTTTTTGTCATGCCGAAAATTCAAAAGTCAAAGTAAGATACTACTAGAAGAATCCCTACGAAAGTTGAACTTAAACTTGACACTTCCGGTGATTCTTTCATTTGGCGCAATCGCATTTAGTTTCAGCCACATGAGCGTTTTTACCGCTGTTACAAAATTTTCAAGAGAATCTAAAAGAATGGAATACTAAACATACCTAAATTCAGTTGTTTTATGTATAGACTTTTTATTTTGTTGCTTATTACGTTATCTTTTTCAAGGTATTTTTGTTTGTCTTGAAACCCAACACCTTTAAATTATTACCTACGAATTCAACCCTTCATTTCAAGAAGTGAATTAATTTAAAAATGCAAGGCCCCGTCCCATTCATGGCCTATCCCCCTAGGTGGATTGCGCCATGTTGTTGAGGAAACAACCAACCAACTCAACTTCGCAGCGAATAAAATCAGTATTCTCCTGAACGCTGATTTCAGTTTCAGTAGTATTTCAGCATTAAACCAAGAGTAAAAGAAGGACAAAATTTTTGGTGAGGTTACTGCAATGCGTGGTGAAGAGGGAAGAAACAACAGAAATAGTGTTACCTGAAAGACAACGAAGGTGTGCACAATAAAATTTAAGCGCTGGTTGATTGGTTGATTCTTATTAAAGTGGCACGACGTACCGTGAGGAATCGGCGATGAAACGGGTGGTGCTTTGTTGAATAAATTATTTCCTTCATATTCTGATTAAGTTTAGCAATAGATAGTTTTAAAAGTGCTAAACTGCTCATTGGCTTAATTAACTGACCAGTTGAGCTCAGAGCCCCAGCAAAGAGAGATCTTTATTCCCTTCGTCCGACGCACACACTCATTGTCCTAGAGGTTGGCAATATGTGTGTAGTAGAAATGGCATCATCTCGTCTAACTGCATGACACACGAAACAGCCTCATACACGATAACGAGTTATACGACTAGCATCTTAAACGCCTCGCCAAAAACTGGAGCAGATAGCAATAAAACAACAACATCCAGTTGTCCTACGGAGAAAACGCCAGCTGCGCCAGCACAGGGTGTGGTATACGCTTGAAGAACTTCGCCAAAAGGTCATCACTGCAGATCTTCACTCTTCTTCGTATCGGTGTCAGTAACAGGCGGCATTACCATGTGTTCTCTTCATGTAGCTTCTCTTTGTTCTGTCTAACCTCTTTTGAGCTCTTTTTTCTCCTATGCCTTATCGCACTTATGATCGCACTCTATTGGCCCCAATGATGTCGCGATGTATATTTGCGCATTCTGATAGCACATGATAATAGCGGAACAAAAAGAGGATTGCCGCCCATCTACCGCATCTCTTAGCTGGAACATTTTCTCGCTTTCTGCGGCACAGCACTGTCCCGTGCGCATCTGATAGCCCACACTGTACGCCTGTCTGGTCCTCTTTTTCCCGCATGGCTTTCTCCCTTTCTTCATCGTGTTCGGCCCAGCCCCCTTCTTGCGTCGACCATATATCTTGCTCCCCCGACGAGTCCGATGCCGAATCTTGATGCATTTCTATGCGCGCCGGAAGAGATGGATTTCCTGCCGGCCAGTCAATGTGCGCGCGTGCTCTGCGTGCATCGCGAGGGGGATGAATAATCGCTGAACCGCGGCCAGCGAGCAAGATATATAAAAGACAACTTTCGGCTTGGTCAGTAGAGTGGAGGAGGGGGGGGGGTCGACAGATAGCCGCTGACCAGCCGATTCCTATAGCATCCAAGAAAAAGGCAAAAGCGAGGGGCGAAGAATAGGAATAAGGGCGTCTCGAAAGGCTCGTGCAATGTAATATTGACAAAAGCAGCGTGCGCGGCCGCCTCGGTGGATACAATGGCTGGTGGAAGTCGAGGAGACACATGGCATGTGTGGCGTATCGGCAGTGGTTTCACCATGACTGTAACTAGAGCTGCGTGGTTTCTTTGGCATTCTCTGTTTCGGGGAAGCCGAAGGTTAACACACAGACACTCATAGAAGAAGGGTTAAGCTTGCAGGCACTGACACATGAGAAATGAAACAGACAGCGTCTATGCCGTTCGTTTCGTTTCTGTTGCGTCTGTCCTTGCATGCCTGTAGATATTCCGCTATAGACACTACTCGCATTTCGCTGAGACAGGACAGACGCCGTACTATGTCACCGAACAATGATTCTGCAAGATGAGCTTTCGACGTTCATTCCGACTGGTTTGAGCAGTTTCCATCTCGCGGCCGAGTGTGAATCGCTCGTGGGTGGCAACGATGTTCGCGGAAATCTTTAGCATGTCATTCGATGGGTTTATAGAAAGCTTGAAGAATACAAAATTAATCGAATAAGAAATATAAGGTTTAAAGAACAATTCTCCAAGAGGGAGAAATGTGGCAAAAGAAGTAGTTAAGAAAAAGCAATATAAAGGCATGAAAAAAATGTAAAGCAGCAAAAGGCAACATTTTTCACACTATCAGAGTGCTATATCTGGGCCGCACGTGAACGCGTCATATAGTCGTAAATCCTTGAATATCCACTGTCACTGCACAATCAAAACACAAACACAAAATTAGAAAATAACCTTGCACAGTGTACACGATATAATTATATTGAAGTATGTTATCCATAGAAGGCGATTTACCAATTATCGCTAATTTACTTCTACCCTCAAAGGAAAGTTGTACCTTATCGGTACTTACCGGTATTATAAATGTGGAGGCTTACAAGTAAGGTTGAAGTTACGTTGATGACGGCGCAACGAGCCAAGGAAAAAAATGATTGTAATAACCTTAAGTCACAAGAAGAAGGCAGGGTGGGTCAGAGAACAAGCAGGTGTTAAAGACATCTTCTTCGAAAGCGACACGTGTGCATGGGCACGGTTTATAGCACGAAGGTCGGTCATTAAGAGTGATAGACTGTGTTTTAAGAGTAGGCAACGCCGTAAGAGGGGAGGCGGACAGTTCGGAAGGCAGAAGAAACTGAGGTAATAATGTGTCCGCAACAATAAAAGGACCGGGTTAATCGGCGAAACATGGTAGAGGTCTTCGTAATGCAGTGACCGTAATCAGGTTGTTGTTGTTGTTGTTGTTGTTGTTGTTTGGTGGGTTGTTCCTCAGCAACCTGACGCAACCCACCGCGGGGAATCAGCCATGAGACGGGCAATACTTTACTTTATAAATATTATTGTTTAACAAAACGAATATGTTAGGAATAGATCATTTAGGAAGACATTCACTGGTGATGACGGTATTATAGAAAATAGAAAGAAAATTTCATAATCGATGCAAAACATTCCTTTATCTTATTGCAAATATTTTATGTATACAATTGTTGTCATTATTCACGCTCTTCTTCTTTTTTTTTGCATGCAGGAAACTGCGATGGTTTACGGTTGGTGCGCTTGGACATGCCGAGCGCTGTGATTCGCGGTGACCCTGTTTGGCTGAACTGCTCGTTCGACCTCGAGTCGGACGAGTTGTACTCCGTGAAGTGGTACAAAAACAATAGGGAGTTCTTCCGGTACCTGCCCAACGAAAACCCTCCCGGACAGTCGTACAGGTTGTCGGGAGTTCATGTCGACGTAAGTGAGCCGTAATTCACCCCTTTACAGCTCAACGGCAAAGAAAAAGAGGACGCCATGTTATGATGTCCATTTTGTATCGAACACTAAGCACCAGTGAGTGCGAAGCGTAGAGCTTCATTAGAGCGGCGGGGAGTGGTATACTAGCTGTAACGATTGTACCAATTGTGCTGCAAATTCTTACTGGCCTTGTACTGAGTGATGGCTTGTGTCTCAAACTGCTGACACCCAGGATTGTTTCGGACACGAACTTCAGCATCCTTCAAAAAGGCACCTAGGTTCTGTTTTTCATTCTTACCATCTTTTAGCAGATTTTCATGGTGACGTGGTTGCGATGGTGAAAAACCAAGCAGTCGAACCACTGATGATTTAGCTATTGACAGAGTTTGTGCCCGGCAAAAAAACAACAACATAAAAGGCAGGTAACAATCGCAGTACATTGCGAGCACGGTCATCGGTCGTCGATGATCTGATCGTCGATAAATACGCCGCCGTTTATATATACGCGGTGGTATAGTACAACGTCACTTCAGGTGGTCGCGTTTGTTATAGACTTAGGTACATCACACGCATAGTGCGTAAAATTTAACAGGATAACTCAAAAGCAGTAAAGAAGGTTAGTAACAACATGGTGAGGGCTAGTGGCACGTAATTAGAACACAGGACAAAACAGAGTGAACAGGAAAATAATGGAACGAAGACCCTGGGTAAAGCACATGGTAGAACACACAGTATACAGAACGGGTAGAACACTGTGGTAGAACACAGTGAAACGCCAAAAAGAAATATTGTCTTCTCCTGTCTAAACACATCACGTTAAAATGTGTTTCAATTCACTTGGCTCTGCATATTAAACTTTGCGTGTGTAGTACAAGAGTCCTTATTATCTCTCAGCAAGCCCACAGTATACCCTGCCAATTACAATTTTGTGTTAGGTGTGGCGCGTTGCACGTCCGACAGCACTCACTCTCAAGCCGCTCTCGAGAGTGATTCTCCGTTCTCTTCGTCTAACAACGGATCGCGATTCATCACACTGTGTTACACACGCACGCGATTAGAATGATACACCATCGCTCCATCAGGGAAAGAAATTTCACGTGATATTAGCAACAAACGTAAGCGTGTCTAACAGCCTGAAGCGTGATTACCGAGGCGTGGCTAACTTACTGAGCGTGCTTTAGCTCGTACGACGTGCGTCAAAGCGTGGTTTTGTCTATTGCGCAGCTGCGATAATTACTAGACAGCCCACAGAGTCACGTTCCTGGCAAAGAACTGTGTTCTATAAAACCACGTAAGCAACAAAGACAAATGCCTCTGTCAGAGCCTATAAATGACGCGCATGACTCAACTGACTAGCTTGAGGTTTGATTGTGTTTCATTTTGGCTAACTTCTCGTGTAGGCACAACCAAAAAATAGAAGTACATGACACACGGAAAAGCGAAAGCGTCTCAACCTTTGTACTTGCAGTAAGAAATATACCAGAACCTATCACGTGAACGACTAAATAAAAGATTTCAGCATATATGCAACATGTAACATATTTATTACAGAAGGAGCACTGACATGCTTTAGCTGAACATTATAAGTGTTGATTCGACCCATTAATTGAAATGCGCCTCTTACACGGCCTTCCTAAAGCAAATATGGCCAGTATTACAGAGGCAAAAAAAAAGAAAGATATATTAAAAAGCTACCTAATCCAGCATTTTCTCATGTTCACTGACGGCCAACCTAGCCGCACGTGCACCTGCCAAAAGAAGCAGATTTCAAGAGTTTTAAGCATCTATAATTGCTGTAGAATGTTAAGCTTCCACAAAAAGGAAATATAAGAGAAGGTGAAACAATTCTATTCCAGTACAGGTGGAGGACGCTTTCAATTGATCTTTACCATGTAGATTTTTACACCATGTTATAGATAGCTATGTTCGTACGAAACTTCTTAAGCTACAGCTATATTTGGTTTTCCAACAGAGTTAGTCGTCGAAAAGAAACTGAAAAGGAAGACGTTCTACAATTACGAATAATAATAATAATAATAATAATAATAATAATAATAATAATAATAATAATAATAATAATAATAATAATAACACCCGCGCATATTGCTTAATCATCATTTTTGTCATCCCACCCGGGCTATAATTTTTGTATGTTGATTCTTTAAAACCACCTAGCAAATGTAAATTACCGAAGTATAGCCCCATTCATGACCTTCAGCGTAGTATTTCCTCTTCGAGCTACGTTAAAAAGAAACTGCTGCACTCCACACTATACCGCTACTGGAATAAGTTCGTTCTATACGCCGCCTTTGATAGTTCTGTGGTCTTTTTCGGTGAACACCACACGAAAGAACTCGCGCGCGGCCGCCCATGCGAAATCACACTTACAGCGCATGCCGTGTTCGTAAATAGCGTGAAAGTGGCGGGTGCGAATTGAAGCAGCGTAGTAACTGAAAGCGTTCATATAGAGCGCACTGTTTGCGTCCATAATGACCCTCGATTCCCATCTCATTTTTCTAACGCGAAACCGGACTCGTACCAGACATTCAAGTAGAAGAAACAAGGAAAGAAGAATGACCTCCCATCTATTTGTCCACGACTTCCAATGCAGCTGCGAGAATAATACATTGACACGTCTCTTGCACTACGCATATTCCTTTGAACACTAGCAGTTTAGATTTAGGGTCGCAATAGCCAAACCCGAACTAAAGCCGTGCTCTGTGGACGTATATCAAATCGAGGAGAAATTCAGCCATCTTGGTGGGATTTTTACTGCTAGTACAGCGCGAGAAACACGCGCAGATGTATAGATAACACATGTTACCAAATGTGCTGTCGTGTCTTTTTCTCCATGCGTTCTTTGCGCTATTGCCGTATACGAGATGAATCCAAAATTGACGCAGTAACATACATCATGCCTAATACATTAATATAAGTACATAAGTGGTTCAAAGACGGGGTCAAGCATGACTTACATTGTTATGAAATGACGAAACTGCAGATATACTTTTAGAAAAACGTTTAAGAGACTTGTTTGGCCTAGCGTTTGTGATGAGTGTTCCAGAGCAGTTGCTTGTAAAGTGACAACCTTACGCTGAAGGCTATAGCCTTGAATTCACTTAGTTTCCAGATCGAACGCCCGTGCTTGTAAAAGTGGCATTGACGGGCCGGGCACGTCCATGCATGTAATCTTCTTTTCTTGAGAGCTTCTACGCCTGTTTTGGGGATAACTACTGCAAACCTTCTTGGAACTGGCGGAATCTCTGATACCATCTCGCAAGGTGGCACCGTTCACGACAAACATATATGACAGCAAAAAAAAAAAAGTGTTACATAAAGCAGCCGAACTTTTCGTTTCGAGCTCTAGTGTTGAGCAAAGCCGCTGATTGTCCATGCCATTTTTTACTCTGAGGAACCAAGGTCCTGAGTTCATATCACATGCACGCTTGGGACATGCTACAAAAAGAGGTTCAAGCATAAAACAACTGCAGCTCGCCGCGAAACAGTGGCAGCACTCTTCTGATTTCAAAGCTGGGTTATTAATGAAAAGGACGATGTGAGAGCTGCGTTAAAGAATAAAAGAGGGCGGGGATAAGGTTCGAAAATGGAGGCAACGAGTGACCGGATTAGTAATGAGAGAACTCGAGGAGGCGGGGAGTGGGTGGTGGCGCCACGCGCAAAACATGCCGGCGACGCGTAGCTTTACCGATTTTAATAATGAATTGACAGCCAGCTAGCAGACTCGCTCAATAGCGCCGGCTCCGCACGCAGCGGCCTCAAGCGGCGTATACATTAGCGACTGAGTGCTTAGTTGAGAAGAAGTCGAAGGCCCGCTATTCGCGACCTGTCTTGCTCTCATTTCGTGCCGGGTCGCTTTCTCCGGCATCGGCGACGACAGCTCGAACGGCGTAAGTGGTACGATGCCTCGACGGGTCATAAAATATTCGAATACGAGCCACCAAGTGTAAAGGCGAAAAAAAAAAGACTTGACACATGAACCCTTTCGCGTAGTTTGTGTGACTTACGAGATGAAAAGACACAGTTTTGTCGAAAGGGCGAAGCGGTGAATGCAATAGCAAGAAATTAGACTGTTGTGCGAGGTAAGAACGGCTGATAACTCCATTAAGACACGAACTGGCACAACTCTACAATACGCTGGCCTTAGGGAGTACAAATGCTCCAAACGAAGTGGTTTTCGTACTGTCTTTTTGTCGCTTCAACGTGAACTAAATGAAGTAAGCGCGTGTAAGGGTTTGAACTGTCTACTGGCCTCAGTTAAGATAGGTGCGAGACCATGCCCTTCAGATCTAAGTTCGCAGTTGCTGCTCTTGGTGAGGTCATTCAAGCAACACAATGACGTGATGATGCTGTGTGACAACCACTGAGCATCCAACGTGTATAGAACATTACACACGTCTAACAATAGAGCTTGAAAATACTCCACATTTAGAATAGAGCAATGTCGTTAAGTGTGATATAGGCTGCATCCGAGAGGGCTTACGTCTTGGTACGTGTTATTAGCGAGCGCTGCGGTGAGTGTTGTGTTCGCCAAGGAGCCCTATAATAGGCTCACACCCGCACAAATATATGGGACACATATTTATTAGCATTGTTATGCATATTGCCGCGTGTCTACATGTGGACGATAACGATGATGGGGCATTTAGTGGGCACGATGTTGTGGGCCTCTAGCTTCTCTCGAGGCCGAAGAAGACGATATTGTGGCTCAGCTGTTGAGGGCATGCTGCTTTCGTCGTCCCAAAATGTATCTGTGTTTTATTCGCGTTGTACCGCGACACTGGTGGAAGTGCTGGGCCGCAAACCTGTCTGATGCTCCACACGCGCGCTGGGAGCCGCTCATCGAGTCCAGACGCATTGTCACCTGTAGAAACACCGGTGCATCACTCCAGTCGACGGTCGCGAGGCCTCGCGCCAGAGCTGACTCACTCGCCGGAACCTGCTAGGCACCGCACACCTCAACCAATGACCAACGCAAGCCT